ATAATTATCTTTACAATCTCACTGATAAGCTCGGATTAGAACCTTCTCAATGTGATTCATGTGCTGATACAAGTAGTCAAAGTAGTTATCAGAGAAGAATGGGAAGAAGAAACATGGGAAATAATTGTGATATGGGTTTTAAGCCGTGGGTGATTAAAATTGATGATTTAACGTGGGATTGTAATGGAAATGGTGTTTATAATCAAAGATGTAAGAATGACGATCATAAAAAAGATGAAAAACGTGCACTTACCGATCAGGGACCGCAAAGTGGATTATTCCTACAAATTGATACCTCAAGTGGATCAGGTAGTGCTCCAATTAATGTTAACAATGCAGGTGGTGTAGTTGCACCAGCTCCTCCACCAGCTGCAGCGCCAGCTCAAGCCGCCGCTCCAGCTCAAGCCGCCGCTCCAGCTCAAGCCGCCGCTCCAGCTCAAGCTGCATCACCAGCTCCAGCGGCATCACCAGCAGCGGCATCACCAGCAGCGGCATCACCAGCAGCGGCATCACCAGCAGCGGCATCACCAGCAGCGGCATCACCAGCAGTGGCATCACCAGCAGTGGCATCACCAGCAGTGGCATCACCAGCAGCGGCATCACCAGCAGTGGCATCACCAGCAAACACGGGAGCAGTACCGGCAAACGCGGGAGCACCAACACCGTCAGACACGGGAGCTGTACCGGCAAACGCGGGAGCACCAACACCGTCAGACACGGGAGCTGTACCAACGGTTCCAGCACCAGTTCCGACATCGTAAAATACTACAGAATATTAATTATGACATATTTATTTCATTATAATAAAGTATACTTCTATATTTGGTTAAAATTCTTAAATTCACTTCAATATGTAAAAAAAAGTCATTTATAAAATTTAATTCGTAAATAATGATTACTACTACTCTAGTAGTGATATGCAATTTCGTGATGCAGAATCCAGCATACAACTCGGCTAACATTGCCTGTCATTGTATTAAACTTTATTATTTCTACCTGCTTATTTTAATACCTTATCAAGTGTGATAGAATAAAATCAATAAATATTATTGTTTGATTTTTTTTTCTTGAAGGAGTTACGGAGGGATGTTTGATCGAGAGCAATTTGTCCTAAACACCCGAGAGTAGTTCAAAAGAGCCTTAGTTACGTGAGTGAATGCGGTTTGTTTTACGGTTGCGTTATGCTTAGATCGACCAGAATGGATAGATTAGTTGTGCAATCAAAAGTCAACAGATCGACCAAAATTTAGGGTCGGAATTCATCAAAACTAGGCCGGCATTAAGCACATGATTTATTTACCAGTGATTTTGAGTAAAATTTATCAATTTTTGCACTGTCCTATCAAGAATTTTGATTGTTTTGGCTGCGCAATTAATCTCCTATATTCAATGCAAACGTATTGCAGTCAACGACGTGATATAATTCTTAAGTTTCGAGAATTTTTGTAATTCTAACCAGTGTTTCTGACGAACTATTTTCTAAATCCGAAACGTTTCGCCCAATTTGATCTGCAAAATTGGGTTTCTCCCAAAACGCTGATTTAACAAATCCTTGGCGTTCAAAATTTATTTCCCATAGAAGAAGGTCCCAAAATTCTGAGTTGGAATTTACCCAGCTGGGTCACTGACTTTCCGTTGCAATTGTTCCTATCATTGAAGCTAAATTTGTGATGTCAAATATAACCTTATCGTTATAAAGTATTGTGTAATAGACCGATTCAGAACTCGGAATCTTTAATTGAAATGTAGTTTTTTCAAACATCTATATTGCGTGTTACAGTGTTACAGATACAAAGAGTGTATGAATTTTAAATTTTTTACTTTCTATGATGTAAACTCAGTCATGCACTGCACCCAAAGTTATCAGAGTACCAGACCCGAACATTGCTTTAAGGTACTTTTGAGAATCATGCTCTTAATCAGCTTAGAAGTCAAATAAATTCTTGTTATCTGGCATGATGTGACGGATGATAGCAAAGCACGTGGCCGAAGGCCACGTGCTATCATCCTGTCGAATACCCATGTATCCATCACATCATGCCAGATAACTAGTTTATCCGTCAGGTATGACGTAT